TGGTAAATATGCTTATATTTTAAAAGTATGTTATTTATGTTACCATGTAAATGATTTTTACTTAATCATATATTTTATTTTAAGTGAATTAAAATTTTTTTTCTGATCTTTAGTTTCTAATGTGACAAATATTGATAAATGTAAGCAAAGCTCTTTGGGACTCTTAATTTTAGAAATATAAAGTAATCCTAAGACCAAAGAGTTTGATGATTTCTGAAGTTTGTTCCAACTAACTGTCTTTAGAACATGCAACCATTTTTTTAATGGTTCCTGTAAAATTTCTTAGCCAATCTCTTCAGCCTACTTGTCAATGTCGCTTCTAAATGGTGGTCTTCAATACTGAAATTATATTGAAGATGTAGGTTGAACAACATAGAATAAATAGGCTACCATGAGTAGGCTTTAATAACTATTTTTGGAGATCTTTAAAAGTAGGAGAAATTCTTCATTTTTAAAGAAATAGGTTTTTGTTCCATGAAAGCAAAGTTTTGGACTAGGTAGCATCTTAAAGTATCTTCCTTGACACTTCAGAAATACTCTTATTTTTGCCCTAGAAGATATAAATACCAATAACTAAACCCTAATTTTTCCTTTCACTATAGTGATGTTCTTCATTATTTGCAAGCACATTTTTAAAATATTGGACATTAACTTAGTATCAATTCCTTTCATGTTTCATTTTTTGTAATCAATTCAAATTCTAGGTAAACTAATCCAACCACCCATTCGATGCTTGAACCTTCTTGCTAAAGCAAATTTAAAAAAGGAGTGAGGGTAAAAAAAGAAATGGGTGTGGCTTAGAGTCAGCTTTAGGCAGGATTTAAAAATTTAGCTTGAAAGCTTTTAAAGTCTAATTATACAGGGAGGTGGCAGTGTTTTTATTTGCTGTTTACCTTTGATCTATTACCTATTTTGGGGAGAGTGGGACATGCTGTTGTGAAAATGTTTACGGTTTCTTCATTTGATGTCAAGATACTTGTTTGAAGTTGCCTTGTAATTCAGAGGTTTTCGTCTGTGTAACTAATATTAATATTTGGCTTTTGCTACCAGGTTAATAGCAAGTTAGCCTGGATTTGGGTGACTGCTTTTGAATGTATAAGTGATATATAAAATTTTAAAAATAGCTTTATTGTTTTGGGACAAATTAGACACATTAAATATAAAAATCTCAATCACACCAACTCATAAGTATAAGAAAGTAAAAATAAGCCTATATCTCACTCAATGTCAACATTTTGTTAAATTGTATTTTATTTTGTGAAAGGTGTGTGTGTATACACATTTGATTTTCTACAAATTTATTGGTTCTTATTATTCAGATTGCTTTTTTATTCAACAATATATTGTGGCCATAATTTTATATCAGTAAATATAGGTTTATATATAATTTTTATTGATTACAGGAATAATGTTATATGTATATATCATAATTTACATGTCCAGTTAGTAAGTTATTTCCAATTTTTGGCTGTTACAAAAGTGCTATAATGAACATACACACATTACAGGTATATATGTTTATTATTATTATTATTATTATTATTATTATTATTATTATTATTTGCAATTAGTCCCTAGAATAACTTTTGAAAGTAGCATAGAAAACTTAAAGGAGATCGACATTAGAAATTTTAACACTTATTGTCTAATTACCATTCAGAAAAGTTGTACCCAATTTATAATCTCGTCAATGGTACATGAAAGTTTATTTTTCCGCATCTTCACCAATACTATTTTTTGACCAGTTTACAAAATATTTTGCCAATTACTGTAGGTGAAAATATTTTATTTACATTTATTTGATGACCAAATAATCAGAAGCATGTCACCACCATGGTCGGTCTATGGCCATGTTGGATTATTGATTAAAAAATTCTTGAGAGGAAAGGCCATATTTATTTATCTATTCTTTTAACTTTTTAAAAAAGATTTTATTTAATTATTTTTAGAGAGGGAAGGGAGGAGAGAGAAAGAGAGAGAGAGAGAGAGATCGAGAGATCAATGTGCGGTTGCTGGGGGCCGTGGCCTGCAACCCAGGCATGTGCCCTGACTGCGAATTGAACCTGCGACACTGGTTCGCAGCCCGCGCTCAATCCACTGAGCTACGCCAGCCAGGGCCATTCTTTTAACTTTTAAATTGAGGTATAATTGACATAGTATAGTTTTAGGTGCACAATATAATGATTTTATTTATTTAAGATTTCTTGTATGTGTTCAGACTGTTCAGTACAACCTCTACCTACTTGCTGAATGAATGAATGAATAAACAAACAGAAAAATGGAACAATCTATGGTTCTGAGGATTCATTTTACTTAACAAATTGTGATTTTTCTAGAACAGATGGTGATTTGGTTTGTCATTTTCTTCTCTGTCTTCTTACTTCTGTGCTGCCCTCAGGACAAAAGTGGCCACTTTTATTTTGGAAATGTTTGGAAATGTCTTCTTCAGTGTAAACTTTTTTAGTTCTCAAAGATGTAGCTTACTTCAAGTTGTGTGTTAATTTGTATGTATGTATGTATGTATGTATGTATGTATTTATAAATATTTTATTTATTTATTTTTAGAGAGAGGGGAAGGGCGGGAGAAAGGAAGGGAAAGAAACATTGATGTGAGAGAGAAACATCCATTGGTTGTCTCTCACATGCCACCAACTGCTGACCTGGCTCATCACCCAGGCACGTGCCCTAACAGGGAATTGAACTAGCAACCTTCTGGTTTGCAGGACAAAGCCCAATCCAGGAAGCCACACCAGCACACCAGTCAGGGCTGTGTTAATTCTTGTGAGTTAATTCTTAACGCTTTGCCCATTGTAATATGTTGCTTGTTTATTCTTAAATTCTCTGCAGAAAGAAGTATGTATTAAATTCTTTTTGTTATAATAATGAACTCTGATTTTAGGAGCTTATACTTTTTAATTATTTGCTACAAAATTCACTAATAGTGTAAATCAGTTGAAAATGAGATTCAGAGCTGTTTTTAACATGTAGCAAGACTGGATTTATATGACAAATGAGATTTATTGACTTCATATTAATGCACATTAAAATATTATTTACCATGAATGTCTGGAATTTGAGTTGTTCCAAATTTAAAATATTTCCAGAGTTAGAAATCCTAACTCTTAGAGTCTAGTGATTAGAAAAAAAAAGAGCTACACATAGCCACAATATTTTCTGCACACACTTTATCTCCCACCATTTAAATGCAAATGAAGGAATGAGATGTATTGTATTATGTCACATAATTTCAATTCATGCTTTAAAAAAATATTTGCTAGAAGGATAGGTGTGATTATTTTGGAAATATACAAGTACTTAAAAACTCTTTTGGATTCTTCCAGAGTTTAGGTTTTGGATATACAACATTTTTCTATTGATTTATTTTGTGGAAACTTCAAAGCTATAATTTATCATTCGAGGTAGGATAAAATTTGAGAAAAACTTGTAACAGAACCAGTATACTTTGCTGGCTTTGCATAGTACACAGAGTGTGTCCACATAGGGTTGTGTGATATCCCAGATAAAACTGCTCTCCTGGATCCTAAGATATCAGAAAGCCATGAGGAGGAGAAGGATGTAATACTAAAAATAAATGACAGAACTACCTTTCCCTGGCCAGACTCTCCAGTACTTCTCACATCTGTGGAAGTAGGCATTACAGAGTTGCTGGAAACTGGATTGGGGAAGGCCTGAGACACCATTCCCTACAAAGAGAAGGAGGTCTGGTGAAGAAACCTAATGGGTATATTCACCATTGATACTTAAAGCTGTCCAAAAGCCCAGGACAGATTCATTATCTATCAGCCCTACTCAAAAATACAATAAATTCTCTGGGTCTTTTAGGAAGAAGTGTATTTTAGGAGCTAGGGAAGGGCTGAGTTAGGTATTTATTTTGTATCTCAACTTAATTCAGATGCCATACCTAATTTATTATGGCCATTTGTACTATAAGTGCAACATTGGGAGTAGTGGTTCCTACAAATGATGTTAATCAAGATTCTGTTTTTTTTTTTTTTTAGAATGGATTTTATTTAAATCTAGTTAGGTAAATAGGTTAACTAAGCTAGATGTTTACTGGCTGTATTTTTTAAAAAGTAAGGATTGAATCAAACCAATCCCTAGAGTCTAAGAAAGTTTCTGACTAAATTAGGAACCTAAGCTCCATTATTATTTTCAGTTGAACACTGCTTATAGCCATCCTCATATTTGGGAAAGAATACGGCCTTTGCAACAAAGTTTCTTTGTTTTCATGGAACTAAAAATGGGCTGTATTTAGACCAAACAATAAAAATAAACTACCAAACTACCTTCTAATGCATGGGGGTTCTGGAGAGGGGAAACCATAGATATTTAGAGGCATAAAGTGACTCATTGTGCTAGTTAAACTTTTTACAAGGCTAGCCCTGTGTGTTTGAGTTGCATCTGTTACCTCTTCGGCCAGAATTAAAGTATGTGCAAGCAAAAGAATTTTGGATTGAGTCGTAGCTCATACAGAATGCATTGTATACATTGTGTATAACCTAAGAGTCTAAATGGGTTCCACACTTTAGGTAGAACAAAAACTGCATCCTTTCATGTTTATTCCACCTACAAGGTGTTCTTGTTGAAGGCAATCAAGATATTTTCTGTGACGCTAATTCATTTTAACTTGCAGACATAAATTAAACAAGTTTTTCCAATGTAATTTGTAGGCCTTTATTTCCCTTTTAAAAAAGACATTTTTTTCCTTTTGTTTTTACTTATGCTTTTAAACACCAGCTTTATTGCTGACAATTGTTTTTTAAAAGCCATAATGGCTAGAGATATTATATTCTTAGCAGTAGAACAATGAAATAATTGTTTCTTTTGTTATCTATCTTAGAAGAAGTTGTAAGAGCGATGGGGACAACTGTCTGAGTCAAAAATAGTATGATATGTAATCAGAATGTATACTTCTTTAATAAAATATATGAAGACAATTTACTTAACCTTTTCATTTCATTTTCTGTCTAAATTTTCAGGTCACTTTCATGAATTCAAAGGCAATTTACCAGTGATTTCTGGGTGCTGGGGCTGATTTTTTTTTTGCGTATTTGTAAGTATTGGTTTATTTATTACTCTTCTCATTGTGTAATGAAAGTTATACTTTGTAAACAAGTTCTTAACTCTTTTTGTGTATGAATTTTTATTAGTTTTTTTGTGTTTTTAAAGTGTTATTTATTTTTTGTGTGTTTTCTTAAGGGGAATATAGAAAAAAATTTTAGCTGTTGAGAAAAAAGCCTCAGTTTGTTGTGATTTCCATTGAAACAACACAATGGCCCATTACAATCAGCTGAAAGAATAAATATCTTACTTTTTGAAGATGGGGCTCAATTGTAGGAATGAATTACTTTAAAGGGGAGCTAATCTATATGCACATGAATAATTTACCCTGGTAAATTCTTACAGTTTACTGTTTGCCTGGATTGAAAAGTACCCTGTGAATTGTGCTCACAGAAAAGATGTGAGATGATATAGAATTCAAAGAGTTACCAGTATAGGAGGATTATGTGCTAAGGAACTAAAGACTCATTTAGTAAATGTATAATATATATCAGATTAGGGGTATTCCTGCTTTCTTCACCATCCCCCAAACAATATTAACTAAGATACTTTTTCTCAGGAAAGAAGGTAAATTCAAGAAAAAAATTGAATGAAACTTAATGATCAATTAAAGTACTTTGGATGTTATATTCATATATTTGTATAGAAGTAGTTTAGAGTATGTGGCAGGTATGAAACATGTTTGTAAAAAGATATTGTATTTAGGTAGAGTCTAAAATACATTTATCTGTGTACCATATTGCAAACCATTGTCATCTAAAGGGCTATTTTACATTTGGTAATAATAAAGACATAATTTTTTTTAATCAAGTTTTGTATTTTTTTAAAGATTTTATTTATTTATTTTTAGAGAGGGAAGGGAAAGATAGAGAGAGAGATAGAGAGAGAGAGAGAGAGAGAAACATCAATGTGCGATTGCTGGGGGCCGTGACCTGCAACCTAGGCATGTGCCCTGACTGGGAATCGAACCTGCGATGCCTGGTTTGCAGCCTGCGCTCAATCTACTGAGCTACGCCACCCAGGGCAGAATCTCTTCCTGTTAGTATATCCCTATAAAGGAGTTTTAGAGAATATATGTCTAGGAAAGTATTTTTTAAAAAAGTAACATTATAAGTTAGATTTTAAGTTACTCAGTATTTAAGCAAAAAGCAGCCAAAATTTATTTTAAAACCAGCTTTACCTTTCTTTTAGTAGTAGCAGTAATTGGAGCTGGCATTTACAATGAACTTTAAAAAAATGGACATGAATATTTAATATAGTTTAATACATTTTGTACATTTTTAATGCTTTCAGAATGTTATTTTTATAAAACTATCAATTCACATATTACTTTGCTGACTTAATTCTAATGTAAAACAAAATACTAAACTACATGGTTCATTGGGATTAAATCTAAGCTTTTAATTTGTGCAGGGTATCATAGTGAGGATTAAGAGGCAAAGAAGATGGAGAAAGACATGTAAAGTATCTATGAAGGGCTCTCAAGAAAAAGGATAATTCTAAGGAGCTGAGCTTATCTTGCTAGAAATCTGAGTGAAGGGAAATAATTTTGAACTTTCCTAATCTTATCTTAGTTACTTTATCTTTTCTTTTACCTCCTTTCTCTCTCCTCTCATATCATTCAGTCATTCCTTTTAGTAAGTTTTTAAGATGATTAAATTAAAGAATGACAAATACAAAATAATTACTGGCATTTTAACTAAGATGGCCTTCATTGAAATATAATTTACATTTGTCATCACCTAAAGACTCTTTTTCCTGAATTCTTTACTCCCTACCTCAATTGTACTGACTAGTTTGAATGGAGGTGATCCAAATAGCTGAGATTTTTCTTGTGATCTAACAAAAGGATGCTAAAAATAGAAGAAGGAGCACTATGGGTATAGTTTTCATACGGTTATTTCTGCAATTCAACTTCAAATTTTGTCCTGATCACTTAGGCAAAAGTAACGCTAATCATTCAGGCCTAAAGTAATTGTATTCTAGTCTAGTCATATGCTAGTTTAGGGCATAGGCTTTGTTGTCCTTTGGTTGGTGGTCTCAGGCTTCATTAGGGTCATCTTCTGACTGTGGAACCTTCTTATTAAAGAAATGTAGAGGGATACTGTGACTAAGATAAGTCGGATAAAATTAACATGGCATCCAGAATGCTTGAGTTCCTATTTCTTTCAATTATTGCTGAAACTGTCTATCACTTACACTGAATGATGAGGCAGCTAAAAAAATAAAAGTATTTATCTAGTCTGGCTTAAGAACAAGCAAATGGGATCAGTGACAATGGCTTCTTTTAGGAACTTTAATTTCCATGTCCTGGAACTGCTTATTTGCTACATGATCTAAAGCAGAAAGTTATACCTCATGGCCATGGGAAGGTTTCTTAGTAAGGTGTGCAGAAGCCGGTCTGTGAGATAAGGAAGGTTGGATATTGTTTTGCACATCCATAATGAATGGGCCACACCAAGGGTGTGTGAGAACCGATTGGAATCTTAACCTACTCACATCTACTACCTAGGTCAGAAGAGGAAAACACTGTGAAGGAAAATGGCTATCTTTACAGAAGCTCAAAGCGTCTACAGAAGCTCAAAGCATCTTACTGTAGGGTTTTTTTTTTTCCTCTTGAAAAAACAAAACCACCCTTTTCTCAAAGTAGTCATTGTTAACAAGACTTTGTTTTCTTTGTTAATATCCCACATTTAGTTTTTTATCTTTAATTAAAAAATAATTATGGAATTCTGACCATTCAGTTTTACTAGGGCAATACATGATTGATTAAAAACAAAACAAAATAGAAATAGATTATTAAATAACCTGCTTTTTCAGGTTACCCAAACGTTTTTAGTGATTTGAAAATAAACTACCTTTTATAAAATTCTATTTCTATTTATGGTCTCTCATACCAACCTTTTCCCTTAAAAAAGGTTAAAAAAAGTATTTTATTGTCTGGTACAAAAAGTGATTATTGCTTAGCTCATGCTCAAGGCATTAGTAATAACAATATTTTAATTTGGTGTAAAACTAATTTTTGCAGACATTAAATTGGCTTAATTTTGTACCTCTGTGAAGTGAGTGGGAATTATTCTAATTTTTGCAGAGTAGCAGGACTGAACCTTTTAGTGCTCTTTCCTAATACCAAGCTGTTCTCTCTCACAGAGTATTTTAGCTTTCTTTGTTGTCGTTGATCACTATCTCAGTCTCCACTTGATTGCTGTACAAATATTTTTAAAAAGTTGAGTTAGAGTAAGTTAAGGAGGAGATTGTAGAGAGCCTTCCACCACTTTACTTCTTATCTTCCGGGATCATTTGCTCCACCCTGACACTTGCCTATCTGCCTTTTCCCAAACTGTCACAGGCCATGCTTCTGCTGAAATTTTTGAATTGTATAAAATTTTAGGAAGCAAAAAGAAAAAAAATCACAAATTCATCTCATTTTGTGTTTTTAAATGGAAAGAAATCAATTTCAAACTGAGCATAGCTCAGTCCAAAGCTCCCTCAGTGAGAACATCTGTGATTTTTAAGGACAAGTAGGTCTAAGTGCATTATCTTTAAAAAATATTATTCCAGGCTAATCTTGACATAGAGCAGGTAAATAAAAAAGATGAGCTGTGAAAATCCACAAACAGGGCTTGAATGCCATTTTCCATGACAACGGGAGCTGCCCCATGAAAGCATTAACGCTGGGAATGTAAGGAATTTAAAATTGTGCCTTCTCAGTTTTACAGTTGTGTGCTCATGTTAATTAGAGATATACTGACATTTGAAGTATCTACATTAATACACACAGCTACTATACATTTGTGAACTGTGGTTAGAAATCTACTTTAATTGAAAGCAGTTTGCTAATCTGGATGTGTATATCCATTACATTTTAAGCTTTTAAAGTTTTATATACTAGTGCCCTTAGATACTTGTTCTTTCTGCTCACTTCACTGTCTGTTTCTAATTTGTACCTGAAAAAGTAGCCTGGCCTATTTTTAATCTTAGTTGTGTTTGCGAGCAATATTGTTAGAATTATGAGAAAAAATATTTTTAATAGAGTCCTTTACTTGCTGTAGTTTGAATCTTTCTTCCCTCTCTGACTTTCTAAATTGTTGTTTTTTCTTGCAAACCTTTAAGAAGGCCTAGCATGAAAATAAGGTAGCATTTAGGTTTATGGAATTTGTTTCACTGGCTTTAAGCACTACAAAGCTGCTCTTCATAGTCATGCTTTGGTTTTATCTAGAAAAGCGCACATTAGAGACCTTGATGGGATGAACAGTGAAGAGACATTCTGGTTTTTCTAGAGTAGCTGAATTTCATCCTTCTCTCTTGATGTCAAGCCACATATTTTAATCTTTGATTTGCAAACATATTCACAGTAGCTTGATGACTTCTTGAGGTCATCTTTTAACTCTAGAGGTTTTGCTTTGTCTTACACTTAAAGGAAGACTTGTCATCTCTTTTTTGCAAGCTTGTATTTCTTAAGAATCTGCTTGTCAGGATTTTTAACTTAATTGTTTTGTGTGTGTTGTCTAATGAAACACCCACACTTATTTTTGGACCAGTCCCTGAATATTACACAAGACCAGTTAGAATGAAGCTTCCTTTTTGTTGCACCAGAACAAACTGCTCTAAAAAGTTTGTAATACTCTGTACTTGTTTCATTAAACCATTTTACTGGCACCATTAAACCACTGAAACCTGGGACCATTAAAACTTACTCAGTACTATTATTATGATTAAGGCCTATTTTTACCCTTTATTACTTTTTTCACTGTACTAAGTTCCTCTTTTTATTCTTTCATGATGCTTACTACATATTGTGCCATCACAGCAAATTTTGGAAATTTTAAGTTAATTGCTCAATTATCAGTGATAGTCATGAAGCACTTGAAACTTGCACAGTGGTAGACTTAAAAATTTCAAAATAAGTTGGTGTGTCATAATCTTAAATGTGAAACATGCCAATATCTGCAGTCATAAAAATACACCGCCTGAGCTAGGCATTTCAGGGAA